TGATCTATTTGAGATTAGTATTTGAGATTTTTGCTGAGTTTGTTCTTACTCAAAAATAATTTTTACGGTTCGTCAAAGTTTATTTCACGTGCAAAGATGTTGTCGAATGTCTCGCCTATGTCATCGCTCCGATTCGTTACCGATTTCGTCATTTTATAGTAACTCTTGGCTCCCATAAATTGGATTTACGCACTTGTCTGACTTGCTTGTACCGTTCCACTCGAGATCCAAGCGTCACGGTTGTATCAGAATTGATACTGCCATTGTTTCTCGAAGTTACACGGTGCCTCGATTCTTTTCTTCGTGAATGAAAAGGAAACCGACCAGGGTTGCGCAATTCTCGGCTTTGGCACGGTTAATTACAATGAATGCGGAAATCTGTGGACTCGGATGATTTTTTACATACACGCGATAAGGTGTAACGTTTTACGGGGCATAGACTCCAGGAATTTAAACAAAATCTGCTTCTTCCATTCCAATATTTAAATCTTCGGTAATTTATTTTTTTCTGCCATTAGTTTCAATTTTTTTTGAATCCCAAGTAATTGCAACAGAAATTCAACAATAGAAAATATTTATAAATGGAAATTCAAATATTTTATACTCTATTTAAACTAAATTTATAAACTTAAAATCAGCAAGACAAAAAAATTCGTATTATCTCTTCCTTCCGGATAAATGAACACTACGTGTTTCTCTGTGAAGATGTTTTATACACAATAGCAATGCAAAGCTGTTGTTCCTTTGTGATATTCAACTACGTTAAACGTTCCGATGCTCTTTGTTCCGGAAGAAAGGTTTCGTTTAATTTCTTTGTCTTCGTCTCGCTAATTGTATGTTTGTTAATTTAGTTTGCACCTAATTATACCTTGTCATTTTCGCTTCCCTTTGCATACCCTGTTATATCATTTTACCTTTTGCAAGTCTACGAAGATCACAATTTCCATTGTTTCGAGAATTTAAATTTGTGAAATGTACGAGACAATAAATTCTGAGATATCGAAAACACTTGGAATAATATAGTTTTGGGGAAATAACCTGTTTGCAATATTTTTACTATTCAAGTGAACTAGAAAAGGCTCGAAACAAACAAGGTACATAGGATCCTACACGCATATACTTCGATACAAATTTTTTAGAAAAATTCACAGAGGTAGAATGCTCCTTCGTTAGAATAATCAACCCCTTCATATACTTTAATGAGTCTGACTCGCGATGAAGAGTTTGGCTCAAACGTAAACATCACGATCGTCATTGAGTTTTGAGTTTTGAGATCATCTGATCTGTTTGGGTCCAGATTTCATTGAACTAAATGCCACGGGAAGGGGTTAATAAGGTATTCTTTATTGACGTATATGCGTGCATCGAATATCATCGATGAATTGCAGAAAATCGAATCCATAACTATCCTTCTCGGATCTTTTAGTGCTTTCTTTGGCTCGTAGACGCACTTCCTTTCTCTTCAAGCGTTTCATCAACAACGTCGATACTCGTTCTTAATAAACGGAGTCGAGGCGTAGGATTCTCTGTGCCGCAAAGAGTTGGAAAGCATTATTTAACATTCAGGTCTGAGTCGCGAGCCCGCGAAGGAGATGGTAGCCCATTGATTCGATGAGAGGCGAGAATCGATGCGTCTTTAAATCGGTTTTCGTCGCTTTCGAAGCATACTGGCGTCTAGACGCAGTCGTTCCTTTCGTTTCTCAATTATCCTTATTTTTCCAGGGAGCCCTCCGGTGCCACTGTCGTCGGGGTTGTTCCTCCCCCGTCTGTCTCGAAAAGGAAAAGATCGAACCTGTTTACGTTCACGATCCGCCGAGCGCCTCTATTTATTCGAGGAAACTCAATTACTTACTGCCACGTGTACGGTCTTCCGGTTCCAATAGCGGTGAATTCCTGTCAAAGACATTACCCCATTGTTAACGTCATCTCCTTCTATCGACTAATTCGTGCTTGTTCCTAAGACTTTGTGCCGAACCCTTTGCGATCCTACGTCGAGACCCGGTGCTATTTAACCTTCTTTTCTGCTCTAAAAAATTGGTCGAATCATTGTTCTCCAACCAGCGTTAAAAATCTCGAGCAACTCCAATACAGGATCAAAGGTTCCACGGATCGTTTCACAAGAATTTTTAGACTTTCTGTGTTGAACTTCAATTCTAGTAAATTTTTTCTAAAATTTATAGTAGATAGGATATTTGATGTTGTAAAAATGATCGTTGGAATACTCTGGAGGTGTTTGACAATTGTTAGAGTATTTTGGATCTCAATACTGTCTCGATAAAGTACTTCTGTTAGCATTTAAAAGTATACAAACGTGTCAGCCTTTAGCCTTGTTTAGTTAAGGAAGCTGTAATATTTGTGTCTATTTTAATCTAATAATATAATCACGGAGGCCTTGGAACGAGTTTTGCAATTATTGAGCAATTAAAATAATCTAAACAAAGTTATAATCGTTGTTCATTTTTATTAACTCGACTTTTTCTTTCTGTTTCAGGTGAGTCACGAAAACATGCTAAATGAATTTCTCATCACAGGTATTTATCATAATTACTCATTGATAACAAGGAAGTATTAGGCTATTTTATCAACATATTTTTTTTTATTAGTATTTATAGTGGGGGTAAACAGCAAATTCTTTTTGATTTTTGTTCAGAAAATTGCTTCATCAAATTACATAAATTCACGAAAGGGCGTGCTTTGTTCGATCCTCGAGAACAAACTTAAATTAATTTATTTCAAAGAGGGCTGAAATCTGGGATCAAAATTAAATTTCACGTTACCGAAGTTTCCTTCTGACGATCAATTAAGAAATACGTAGACGATACGGAGTCTTTGGTACAAATTTTTCACAACGAATATTACAAATATATACTTTGAACGATATTTCATATTTTCGATATTTGAGGAATATTTTAGTCCCACGAAAGGGTGGATTTCTCAGGTTCTGTTGGTCAGAATCGAATAAACTTTGAATTCACAATAACCAGTCGAATTTTGGTCGCCATCGTTTCGTTCCAAGCGTTTCAAAAAGTTTCAAAACAGTAACTCAGCTGCCAATATTTGTTACTCGACGGTAATACACTCGAGTCGGTTAAACGAACAAAAATAAACCAAAATAAGAACATCAGGGAGCAAAAGGATTGGAATCGTGCGATATTTTCTGGGGCATAAGAACATTGTGGCAGCTAAAGATCGAATTAATTTACATCGTGGAAGGCGAATACCGGTAATTCGATCTGTTCCTATCGACGGTATTCAGTTCATTAGCGAAATTTCGACAGACAATTTCGAGAGGAGCGTCTCTTCCAGACCGTGTGCCTTCCAGACTGAGGAGACGCTGCATTAGATATTCGATCGATCGAATCGCATCGCTTTCCCGACTTCTCCGCTCATTGAAAACTTGTAACGAGGCTTTTGTAATGCGAGCCATTCGGATGCAAATGCACTCTCGGGTTTCTTCTTGACAATTCGCTTTAGGACGACTGATTTAACGATTAAGTCCGACGGGGGAGGTGGGAGTCTGTGGTTCGAACACAGGTCAATCCGCTTCGCTGTTCCTCGGTTCGCTTCGACGCGATGAATTGATCTGTGCTTTTTCCTTCTGCGTTCAATAACCAAGGCAGACTTATTTATTTCGTCTCTCTTTCCGAGAGCTGGGCGAATTACTTGCGCAAACAAAACGTTTTCGAACGAGGAATAAAGGATGAACGACTTTGGATAAGAATTACAGTACGAAATTAAATTATATTTCACGTTTCGATCGTTTTTCCATGGGAATTGATCGCTGTATGGTTTCATTGATCGTCCATTGTTAATATTTTTAGTATCGAAATTAAAGCCAGATGGTTTAGTGAATTTTTATATTATAGCTGTCAAACTTCATACATAGAGGTTGTAATTGTATTATAATTGGGAAAGGAATCGTAATACAATTTAGAAAATTTACTGTAAGTCTCTCTGCGCGGACAGTTTTAATACAATATCGTTTTCTGAATAAAAATAAAACACGAGCCTCGTAGAGCCGATTCTACAACTGTGCTGGAAATTGTATTTTCAATAAATGGATTAGAATTTGAAGTAAATTAGATTAGTCGAGTCCATAAATACAGTATTTCCATTTAAATAAAATTTAGTTTGTCACTGCCCCGAAGGATCAATCAACTGGCTTTCGAATTAAAATCAAATTTAGTAATTATAATTTTCTAAGAAGCTTGTTTTAACATCAGTCAAATGGACACAATTCTATGTATTTTAAAGACAGACTTCTCTTGCATCGTGAATATCAAGAGGAACTTTAATAGCTCCACGTAGCAATTGACTATGCAAATGATTAATCATCAAATGCATTTGTTTGTTGGCAACATTCCAATGTTTCCTGACTTGGCAGAAAAACAACACTGTTGCATTGTTCGAGTAAATAGCACGTTCGCGAATCAAACAATTTCTTGTTTTACTATTCTCGCGTGTTATAATCTAAACGCATTATTTTCTATTTGTAACAGAGTGTTTGAAAAATTACAACAAATTCCTTTCTTAAATAAAAATCTGTATAATTCTTAGAACTATTGGCAATATTTTAACACGTTGACTGGCAGACCAAAACAGTACAATTTTTTACAATATCAGAACTTTGATTTCATCCAATTGTAAACTTCGTAACTAAAAATTTGTCTTAGTATCTATTTTCGTGTCTTCTTAAAGTTGAAAATTAATTCTTTTAAGGGTTAATTATTTGCTCTTCAAGAACTTTGTTCAACCATTTCAATAACTTTGCTATATTTAAAGCATCTCTATAGTCATCTCGCATACTTAAAAGTGAATATCAGCAAGTAGAGGCTCCAAGACGATTTGATCGCGTCGTCTTCCAAGATTAGAAGCGACCGTCTCGTCCGCAAAAATATACAAACGCTCGTTAATAAAAAAAAAGGAATATTACAAAAAGTTAAAAGAAAAGGCGATTCAACGGAAGGGCACGATGAAAGGGGGATCGATAACACTGTGGATAATAAAAGTGCATATATTTTAACGCTCCCCGTCGATCAATGAACGCCCAATTACGGCTCAGGCTTTACAACGTATCGATAATAAGGAACACAGAAATCGTTTCTACAAGCATACATAACATTCACCAAACGTAGTCGGAGATGACCATGGCCGGATTACAACAGGCGTCGACATCCATAACGCAGGCTGATCTTCTCCTCGAGCCCTCGCCTTCGCGGTGATTATGCTCGTCAGTATGAAAACATTCAACGCGGATAGAAGCAGGAAGTTGAAGCAAGTTCGTTCGACTTCTGGCTACAGGTTACAAGTACATGTAATACAAAATGCCTAGGAAACCGACGACAGCGCCTATCAGGAGGGTCGTCGACATCCCCAGCTCTTCCTTTTTCTCTGATGGTTTCGTGTAGGTGCTCGACCAGCCCACTTTGGGCGTCTTTTTGGTCTTCTCGGACTCCTCGAGCTCGCCAACTAGGTACTTGCCCATCAAATCGAACGCGTCCTTCGAGTGGCCGACGTCGTCGAAGTCGTCAGAGCCATCCTTGCCCGCGTGATCCAGAAGGATCTCCTCGCCACCGGGATGCTCGTTCAGGAAATTGGTGACGTTGTATACCTTGTCGTGGAGGATTATCAAGGTGTTCTCCTTGCTGCTGCCAGTGACAGCAACCTCGTTGGTCGTGAACTTTTTGCTCATCCTTTCGATGGGTGAAACCTGCAGACACAGAATCAGGAATTAGCAATTAATTCGGAGTCCAGTTTCGGAGTAACCCAATTTTTACTTTTGAGGATGATTACTTTTGTGTAGTTAGCTATCTGTTATGGTCAGGACCTGCTTGGCTCAATACGTTTACTGACATATCAGACACTTCAAATTGTCCAGGAACACTTCCTTTTTAGACAATTGAATACTATCCACAGTTTGTTGTTGAGTTCAAGTGTACTATCTAGGTTTATTTTCTTTAAAATATTGGGGTAGTTAGGGATAATACTCTTAATTGCAATGTTAAGTTGTCTGAAAGTGAAAATTGCTTTTCAAGTTTGATAGGTGAATAATTGGTCTACTCAACATTCACCGCATGGTTGACGAGTGGTTTTAGACTGATTTCAGTAATTTTTTGATTCACTTTATCCGTTGATTTGGTATAAATATCAGTATTTTATTTTTATTGTGCGAACAAGAGTGCTTCAAAGTTCAGAACATTTATATTTGTCTAGTTTTTAGAAAATTGGTTTATATTTGAAAATAATTAAAGATAGCAAGTTTCATTGATCGTTTTCAGTATTAGTAAATAAAAAGAACGAGTTCATTAATATATCAAAAATTGAAATTGAAGAATACCATTGGAAATTTCATTGGAATTCAGTAAATAATATTCAAATTCAGAGACACTTAATTTTCTGACCTATACGTTTCCAACAATGTTATTAAAACTGATAAACTATTCGTAGAAATTTGGATAATTGCTTTGTTTAAAATGCCCATAAATTATACACAAGGATTAAAAATGCAATGTCATCGAATCGACTATAAATATTTAAACAATTACAAATCGTGTTCGCGATCATTTTTTTTGTCGATCTCGCGAATTTTGTTCCGCGGATCGAAAACTTGTCAAAACTAAACACGCGCTTCAAAGTCGGTCTGTCGATTTCGACGAACGATGTTTTATTTTGCACTAGCTTCTCCCGTTCGCTTTTCAGAGGGGGTGAAATCGAATTTTTTCCTCGTCAAAGTGGTCACGACAGATTTTTCGGGGAAGAGGATCAGAGGAAAAAAAAAGATTGATTTTCTACGGAAATTTCGTGACGTTTGAAAGTGAATTTTTGCTGTGAAATTTAATTACTTTTGAATTTATTTTAAAAACTCACTTCTCGTCCACTCCCGAGTTTCTCACGAGCTTCGATTATTTTGTTACGTAATCTATCGGCTGATCACGACAACGCGTCTGGAAGATCTAAATACAGAGTGTGTGTTTCGTGTTCCGTATTGAAAAACGCAGAGTTCCCGACGAACCGTTTTGGTAGCAAAAAATGTGTAACAGGTTGGAATTCTTCGTACCATTAATTTCTTCAGCGACGAACGGAATAAAAAAGAAACAATCATCCTTGACACACACCAGAGTCGCGTTACGATCCTTGATTATTTATAGCGAGCGTGTTGAGAGTGATTAAGGAAACGTACATTATCTAGCTGTGCCGATAAATGTGAATTTCTATCGTCGACTGGAAATATACTGACACATTTAATATTAATCTCATGGAATATACAATATTTCGAAAGCAATTCGAGCTCCACTTACCGATCGACTTCATAGAATTTTATCTTCAAAATTTATTTGCTTACGTCGAACGAAATTTATATCTGTCGCAATGTCGTTGTTTTTCGAGATTATTCTTTACAATTTGTCATCGAAAAATCATTCTGTTCGGTTCATCGTTTGTAAATCGAGATTTGTGGAATATTCGACTGGCAACGGGGACCATTAAATTTACTTTGGCAAGCGTCCATAGATTAGAATGTTAATTTCGTGTTCATTGGGCGTTAAATTGATATGGCGTTCAGTATCTTGTTTATGTAGTCGGTTAGTGGAAAATTACTATCGATAAATAATCTATACGGCGAAATTTTATGGTGGTCAACGTGTGCCAAGACACATTGTTCGACCAGCACATTGTTTGTGTTTTGAAGACACTTGCTCGTTACGATAAACGTTCTACAACTTTTATTATGTAACAAATTCGTGCGTGCAGAAACGACGATGACAACACAATATCGAGTCCAATGGCGATCACGTTGAAAATCATTTTATCTTCTAACGCGGGAAAGATGTTCGAAAAATATTTATTTAAATTCATAGCGTGAGTTTCTAGCCTCCATTATAGATTCTAAATTTTTCCTTGTTTTTGTCGCGCGTTTCAACCGCCTCACACGAGGCAAATTATTTTTAGTTACCTAAGGTTTCGTGAACGCTTGATAAGAGAAAACGGTATAATTTAATCAGTAGAATCGAGGACGTGCAAAGAGAATGAAAACTGGTGGTTTATCTTTATCGATAGCAGCGTTTAAAATCAAATATTGTGAATGCAATCGACGGTACTACAAAACGTTTGTTTACGACTGTCCAACTAATATTAACTCATCTGATAAGGCAAATAGGTCCCGATTATTAACCCTCTATCACCGACTTGAACGCGTTGACCTGTACTTAATATCGCTCGGAATAAATTATCGTCTCGTCGAAGAGTCGATCGAAGTTTTTCAGTTTCATCTTCACGGTTATGCAAGTAGCCGTAAAACGAGGGGGGAAAAAAAATTAATTTATACTTCCTACTGTACAATGAATACCTAATCAACGCTTACATCGCACTATTTTCCAATGCCTCGTCACAGTTTCGAATTGAAACTCTCGTGTAGAAACGTAGCTGAGAACACAAACCATTTTACGAAGAGAAGTTTTTATTTCATATCGTTTAAAATACAAAAAATGGTTTGTAACACGCGCGTCAGGTTGTTTAGTATTATTTGTGTCACGGTGGCGCGAGTTTACACTATATCTACGCTCTTAGTGGCATAATGTATTCCCTCCTCGCGTATGTTAATGTCTCGAGGGTTTAAGTGTCGAAGGAACGTATCAATAAGCATCGATCGACTCGATAATTTCCACTTCGTGCCTGTTTACTCGATCGTCGATCGGTTTCGAGTCTCCGTTTTCACTTATTTTATTTTATATTTTATTCGCGTACGATTCACGACGATGGCTAACCGCGTGGTACATTTTGGAGGCATGGTTTCGACGACGAGCTACGCGAAAGATCTGACATCAACCGCAGTTACGCGAAGGTCGTCCAGATTACACAATCAATTACGCCGTGCGATGATTCTTTGCTTTCTCAATGACGGTGTCGTAACAGCGTACAAAAAAACGGCTTTGGAATCGATAAACGTTCGAAGATGGGCAAACATTTATCGATAACAAGTAAAAAGAAACCAGTTTTTCTCGAATAAAAATTAAATTCGCTTAAAATGAAGCGTTTCGCTTTATTTGTTAATTAGTCGAAGTTTTCGAGAAAATGGATGTCGAGAATGGGTTTAATAGCTTATTGCCCGTCTCTGGTTACGGTTTATCCGTGTCCGCGGGAGAATATCGGGAGCAACGAGCTCTGAATTTTCAAGCAGCCGCGATTTCAGTAATTATCGACCGGTGCAATCTAATCAACGAGTAATTAAATATCCCCCATGGAGATTCTTGAAACGAAGCTCTTTGGAAGCTTCTTTGGGCGATGATTTTAATCGACGATGGCTGTCAGCGATCGATTCAAGACGCGGAATAAATATTCCAGATATATATTGTTCCGTTGGAGGTTCTGTTTGCATCTCGCCGGGCATATGTCCATGTAACGTGTTTATCGTCGTGGTTACGTAATTAACTGTTTATCAGCGCGTTTCTCGCGCGGGAAGTTTGACCTCAATTTAGCCTCTTCGCGTTTAGAGATTTTTAAAACGCATTTTTTATACAAATCGATACAAATTTCGAGTTTGAATCGCGAGAATGTTAGCCCAAAGAAATCAATGAAAAATTGGAATCTGAATTTAAAAATTCAATTTTATCTCGATCGAGCAGTCGAAATTTAATACTGGGAATTTTCAAAAATCCGGTCGTGTAAATTGTTCACAATTTTCAGTAGAAACTGCGAACGTTAATCGAAACTAAATTGAAATTCTCCGTCGTTTGTGAATTTTATTTCATTGATCGCTAAAAATAATAAACTGGAAAGCTATCGGGAGGCAGACACTTTTTACTCGATATTAATGGTATTGCAACTGAGAAAATTGCAAAAATATATTCTAAGCGCTGAAAAGTCCAAAGATTCTTCTCCTCGACGCCGACCGCCATTAACGACCAGTTATTCGAATGTACAAACCTGTTTTAAAATCGTTTGCGGAGGACTCTAGCGTTCCTATAATTCGAAACGACTCCCAGTGCCCATCGAAATTACCATAAGCTATCGACACGTAGTCGAATCACCGAATATCTCGCGTTTTAATAAACGTCGACGACGTGTGCCGTGAACTGTCATGGCGGCGCGAGGAGTGAAAAAGAAATGAATACCGGACGTGTTTAGAATTCGCGGAATCGAGCCCGGAAATCGTTCGCGGGTCGACGAGACGATGAACCTGTACCATAAACTCGCGACAGCGAGAGATCGAATCGCCGCTTAGCGCGTCGTTATTCGATGTTTGCCGGACGATCCGTGAGAGCGGGAATTATGCGACGCGCGTTCCACGACGCACATTATTCACTTCCGGCAGCCGAGTTCCGTGGATCGAAACAGCTCGCGACGACTACGTTGTCCCGGTTTGGCCCACGTACCTTGCCTTCGAGTCGCCACGAGAACGCGTTCAACTCGACAATATCGTGGTCCTCCGATTCCTTTGTTCCGATCGTGCGTCCCGTTGCAAAACCCAACCGAAGAGAACTCTTTTTATCCGCGACGGGATAGTAAAACACGGTTTCCTCGCGAAGCTGCACTGGCACAAACACTGCTCGATCCAGTTCAGCACGTACTAGCTTTATCCTTGCCCCCTCTAGATGCTGCCCCACCACGGTCCTAGCTTATCATCTTCGGTTTCCCACCCATGCACGATCTCTGGACGCCACCTTCGCCCACGAGATGAGAACCGTTTGCGCGCAGAAAGACCTCGAGCAATCGTTCTAAGAACATGTGCACGGAACTGTCCGTGGATCTAAGCCGTGTACACCTGACAGACCCAATAATCGAAAACAGACAACGAAACGGATAACAAAACAGTATCGATCGTTAAATACTAATAAATTTATTTCACAAAAATAAATACCAGAACAGATAACAAAACAGTATCGATCATTGTATACTACCAAATAAATTATTCAATCTTCAACTAATCACCTTAAGTGGACTCTCAATCTCAACTGAATTATTTTACTTAATATTGATCCTTATCAAATTGGTAGATGGAAATCAACTTTCCTTTCGAACATTTAAAAACACAATTAACTAATGGGGGGACTACGTAAACAATTTTTATTTTAATAATAATCCACTATAATGGCCCCAATAATTCACTTTAATGTCACGCCTGTTTCCAAGTAACCTTGTTCAAATTTCAGAAATGTCGGAATCCATTTTTTAAAGTTTCAAAGTACTTATAGAAACCTGTACGACAATTAACCTATTTACGATAGCATAAACTTAGTACAACTATAATTTCCATATATTAATATACTATATGTTTACTTTGTAATCACCAAGGTTACGAGCTACGGATAAGACAATAATTTTGTATCGTTTGAGCACGCAATCTATTTGCTAGTCATGTTAATACCAAATCCAAATAAGGGATCTAAACATTCGCATGAAATGCTAGTTTGGGCGGCAATTCGCTGCGATATTTGTGATACGACAAGCAAACGCATACATTTTTGCTTTTCGGGTCAATCAATAGTCAAACATCCGCAGCCCTCGACCGTTCCAGTTGCCCAAAATCAACGAAATCGAAACGTTATACGCGCCTTCCAACAAACGCCAAGAGCCTCGTTTTCCCCGGTTTCCTCCGTCTGAAACGATCGCGTTATCGCGCAAACATTCGTATTATTGTCCTCTCGGCGCCTTATCACCGACGCTCGTCCCCGGCGGGCTGTATCGTTCCGTCGTCCAGCCCGTGAGAAACCAATTTTTATCTCTGTCCCCCCCTTTTTCATCAAAATTTACGTCCGTGCAATAAAGAAAATTTCGTCGGGTAATCTCAGCCGCGAATCGCGATGCAATTTTTCGCCCCGCGGTTAAATACTTCTTTAACCGTTTAACGAGCAACGGATGGGAGGGAATTTAGGTGTCCCAAGAACGAATTTCGTACAGCCACTGGGTTCTCAACCTTCTTCGACTTCTCCAGCTGTTGAACTTTATTCATTCAGAAATTATCTTCGTTCGCGTTTACCTAAGAAAAAATGTAGCGATCGAAAGTGTATATGTAACGGAGTATAGCGATGCTTGGATAGCTGCGAGTTATTTTCGATCTGTTAAGTGAACTTTCACCTTTGCAATAGTGAGAAGTTACAATTTTGCGATATATTGCTTAAGAAAGTATCATAGCTTCTAATATTCTGTCGAATTGTTATCTTTCCCCCATGGGCACCGAATTTTATCGATGATTTATTTGTCAAGAAATTTGTTATCTCTTTGGAAGGATTATCGTACGTTCTTCCTATTTTACGAATTGTTTTCGCACACGGTGTGTCATAAGTACTCGTTTAATTACTTGTGGCCTGAGGTCATCCCCTCTCCGGCTGAACACTCTAAAGTGAACGTGCCATAACGCGTTACAGACTATTTTTTTGTACTGAGAATACTTTTTTGAAACATCAGGTTTCAAAATATGTTTACATTTCTTTATAATTCGACCTGCTTTCGTTTTACTTGGATAGAAGTACAAAGTAATGTAAATATAATGAAATATCGTGACATGTTGCCACTGTTTAGTGGAATTTTTGCAACTTATGCAAACTGACGTTCTTTTTAAAGTGAGACGTTTCTATTTCTGTTAGTGGATTGACGACTCTTAGATGTTTTCATTTTTTTACTCGAGCTTAGTTACTCGCGATAGGATCGAGCATTCTTATGATGTGATGTCACCACAAACTGAACTCACTCTAAGTGATATCACGTTTTAATATTACAATAGACCATTTCTGAACTGGGTCATCATGGTTGGAATTCGAGTATTCAGGAATTGTGAGCATTCTTATGGGAATCTTTCGCTGCCATTTGCACGAAAGAAACGACTGTAAATTTCTTCGTCGAAGCTGTCGAGTAACGGTTCGTAGGGAAATAGGTTTTGTCAGTTTTCGACGTAACGGTGACAAATGAGTAACCGTTCGTTCGAAACGCGAGAACTAGCAACTAGAACTCCGTGTCGTAAGTACTTATTACTTTTATTATCTTCGTTGAATTTTGTAACAAAAGTATTCTTCACGAACTGCCCTCTGAACACACTAACTTCTCCATTTCTAGTTCACTCTCGATAATAAAGAAAAAAAAAACAACAGAATTTAAAAGGAGGGCAGATATTTGTAATAACATATTAAGTCATTGTCTTTTAAAAAATTGAGGTCTACTTTCTGTATGAGAAATTCAAAAATAGCTCATCAAAGGGTAAAAATAATTTGTTCACGAAACGAGCAACTTTTTCCTTCAAATTACGACGTGTCCTATAAATAGAGCACTGGCGCGTAGAAACAGCTAATAATATCGAGATACATCTATAGCGTATGGTGTAGAATAGCAGATAACACTATTGTCAGATTCTACAAACGATTATTTAAAAAAAAAATTAACCATTGTCTCAGAATATCCAAAATTAAAAGAGAAATAAAGTTAATTGTTACAGAGTATATTTCATTAAATTACTAACGTATTCCAAAGTAAATTATAATGAATACGAATAGTAATATTTTTTTTAAATTCATAATACATTATAAAAATATGCTTCTCCTTCTACGTAATATTTTTTAAATTTACGACGTGTCGTAGAAAAGGTTGTCACAATGTACTTTTTGTGTTTCAAAATTCGTGTGATATTCAGGCAAGTTTTAATATCGAATGTGAATGTATTTACGAGTGTTCTATGAGTATGAAATATATAATTTTTTTCAAATTATCGAGGTCGTTCGGTGACAAATTTAGGGTCACGAAGTCTGACCTGAACCGACTTCGAACACTTGGTATTGATCGCAAGAGGTGCATCATCGCATGCGGACCTCCATCAGCCGCATGCAACTGCATTCAACGCGAACGTTATACCATGCACGATGACCTCAACCAATGTGAATGCGGCTTTATTATGCACCCGAGTGCTGTCACCGTTCTCATCGCGAACGCGATGACGGAAAGCTAGGGCAAATCTACCAACGACGTGGCTCGCGTTACCAAAAAATTCAATTTGCTTGAAATTTCGGAAATTAAAAAATTTTCTTATCTTTTAGCAAACACTCGTGAAGCTGCTAGCATCGATTATAAATTTAGAGAACAACGATAAAAGCAAATAGGCGAGCTTAAGCATGCATCTATAATAATAGAATTTTATACTGTATTCAATATAGAAATCATTAATTTAAAGATCAGTTATAAATAGAAGAGGTTCAAAATATCACATTGCACATATAATTGCTTTTTAACACTTTGACTGCCACGTCACCCATATATGGGTAACAGGATTTACCATTATGATACTAGAAAAATTAATTCTCAAGTTAAGACGTCGGGGGAATTAAATTTGAATAGAGTTTGTGAATTTTAACAAGGTTACGAAAATAAGTACGCAGTACTAAAATCAATATTTTACTTGTGCAGAATATTATACGGTTTTGATCTGGCAGTGAACGTGTTAATAGTTATCATAATCTAACGAGACATTATTCAAAGTCAATTCTCCTTTATTCGATATATCGGTTTCCAGATCTTTCCAATAAAAAATAACAAATCGTACTGATCGCGAATCAATTAATCGAAGCGTCACGATTGAAAGCAATAATTGTTGACAGAAAGTAGACTATCGCTCGATAGAAATTGCCAGTCATCGTGACGAAGGCACTTTTCCTTGTTTGACGACGATTATAATTATCTTACGCTAATTTTTCTAACGATAATTTCATTTTGTTTCATCGGTGTTCCATTTACAGATAATCAGAAGTTTTATAAATTTTGCGGTACAATAATCTTCGTTAAATTTTGTTCGATCGATTATTTTACATAAATATGATTCTACGAGGCAGACAGTTTTATCATATAACAAAAGACGCGAGACCACTTGGGAACTAATGTAAAAAGTAATTAAATTTTTTTTTTGCTCCTCCCGCCCGAACGTTTCAGTTTTTAATTAAATTGAAACTGTAGGAAGAAATACAAAATACAGCCTTTCCGTGGAATCGATGAGTTTGTATAATTAATTATTTTTATGCAGCTCCGTAACCAACCTTTGGTTCTCCGTGAAAAATTGCATATTTCGTTTCGAGTTAATTGTTGTTCGTAACATCGGTTCGAATCGAATATCATTTTTACAACGGCTATCAATTCGAGGGTATACGATAAATGAAGTGGCTTCGCGGTGTACAATTTTTGTGAAATGAGATAGTATATCTCAATTTGAATTTTAAATGATTACGCTTATCATAAATTTGATAAGCAAACCTCAAGATAAAATAGACTGTGCTTCGAGCATTGCACGGTCGGTGGCAATATTTCCTTTAACATTTATTTATTATTTAATCCTTTAGTCTCTGTTTTGCTTGAAAGAATGTGACGGTCGAAGAACGTCGATTACGATAAGAATTTTATTCGTTGCTATTGTACATTTTCTCCATCGATCTAATGAATATTCGAGGAACTTGGAACGATCGTCGGTCCTAAGAGAACCACATTATTATTGCATAAACGACAGCTGCTAGTACCGGTATCCAGTATAATAATTCATACTTTGGTGGTTTCTGTTCCGAATTGTCTTGCTCTATCGTCGTTTCTGGGACGCCTGATAAAAAAAGAAAAAGTATTTTCGATCAAAGATATTCGAATATCTTGCATATTTTATTTATCGATCGCGTATTTAAAAGATTAATTAATTCTCTCTTCGGTGATTCGAAATTTCATTCTTCGATTTCGTGAATAATTAAACTTTAAGGGTAATTTTTTTTTTTAGGAATTTACAATATTCAAATATACTTATCTGCTATTTATATGCATAACTGAAAATAGAGATGCACATTTCTTATGTAAATGTAAGTATTGTATAACGAACAATAGATAAATAACTTTTTATGAATAAATTAAAATTATTAATAGAATTAAATATTTCACAGTGAACGATCAATAATTTAACCCGTCGATCAAGAATAAACGTCATGAATAACGTTACCATTTACGTTATTAATTATTAGAATAAAATTTCGCCCATTTCCGACTGAAAAATAATTCGAATTAGAATGAAAATATAATACAATACGTTTCATAACTAAGAAATCCAACCTGATACTTCATTATCGAAATCTAATAATCTGTTCAAGTTTTTACGTATCTGAACGTCACGTCCACGCGTTTCATGTGCATAAATGTATATGCTAATGTCTTGCTATTAGTGGACTGGTTACTGGACGTGAAATTGATAATGTTTAATCAGCGATGGACAAAATTTTTATTTCTCGATTGCAAAAGCTATCGTTATGTATTAATATTATATAACAACGATATGAAATATCATTCACTCGTCGAATTAAATTTGAGTCATAGCAGATTTATATCAAACCGAATAAACTCATAAATCGCTAATTTCGAATCACGCTGTTGCAAATGAACAACAAATATATACTCTAAATCGATGAAACAGAATAGTGTTATTTCAAAACGTCTAATACGATACTAAATATAAGCTTGATGATCGACCGACAAAATATAAATAATTTTCCAAACTTCTACGTGTTTAAATAATAAAATGCAAAGTGTATTACCCAAATGGTACATTGTTTTATTGGGTCTGGGTTAAATTGACCGCATAACTCTGTTGTTCGATTCGTTTTCCCGAAGTGTACGGAAATACGATTTCTCGATCGTTTCGATCTCGCGCGAAAATTGATTTACGACGTACTCTTGGGGAGTGGTGCTGCTTTGGGGAAGGTGCCAGTCACCGTGCCAATTTTATACGTTTCCCTAAGTTGTATGGCTTCCAGCGTGTGCCCCACGTCGTCGAAACACTCGGTGGCGTCCTTTCCAGCCGAGTTCACCAACACTTCCTCGCCGCCAGGGTGCTCTTTGACGAATTTCGTGATATCGTACACGCTGTCCTTGTACACGATCCATAGATCCTCCTCGTAGTTGTGCTTGGACACCTCCTCCGCCGTGTACACTTTCGACATCGTTCCTGAACCGACTCTGAAAGTCATGGCGACTCGAATGAGCAACTAATGGTCGATGTAAATTACAGCGCGAATTAAATTGCAAAAATTATGCAAAACGTCCGCAGTGCCGGCTACGCTCGAAAGGGAAAAATGGATTTGTCGGATGATTCGATCGAGAAATTTTTAAATGCATTTCTTCGACAAATAAATTACTTTCAGGGGCAAAATTCTTAACTGGATGAAAGTCTGTGAAACAAATATAAAAATAGTAATTATGAAATAATAGTTTGACAGATTGATTAAATTTTTTTTCTATTTCGTATGCTGTTTAGGATCGTCGTTTGGATCGAAAATGGAATTATGCACTGTTAGAATACTCGATAGATCGCTCGACAGACACGAGACTCGAAGTTCCGCACGCACTAGTTTCACAGAATCTATTCTCGTTTCTATCTCGATAAGATCGCGCCGACGCTCTTTGAAAGGGGAAACAGCACGTGGTGTATCGCGAAACATCTGACACAGGAAGAAGACTAGCAAAGTTTCTTTTGCCAGTTCTTTTCGCGTGAAAGTTGGCCTCTCGATCTATCGAGCGCTATTTCCTTACCAGAGAGTTTTTTCTTTTAGAAATTATCAGATATCAATCGATCAATCGTTATATGTTTATTTGTATATTTTAAACAAATTTTAATTTTTATTCAGAACATTTCTTATTTGTTATTCGAAATGTTTGTCCAGATAAGAATTTCACTTATCTCTGGCTCCAATGATACTTGGTGATTGCACTATTCTCTACGAGTACTGCAACATCATCTCGATATAAGTGTTTCATTGTAAGACTGATAAGGAGTTCACTCTCAGTCACATCGAAAGTGTTATTTTTCAAACAAAAGCTAATCTTTCAATGACTACACAATAAACGTTGGTAATAAATTATTCTACAATGTTTTTGCCCGTTTATTACTCGAACAAAATGTCCACTTTTGGCCTACTGGTTAATAAACGTTCCAATCGTTTGGCGAATAAAATTTATTCGATTTTATGCAGTCGATGAGAAAGAAATAGAAGTTAATGCCGTATCATCGTGACCCATCGTTCCTCAACGTCGAAATTCTAAAACGGGACTTTCGATGGCCTTGGATCCCATTTGCACTCGCTTCCGCGAAAAATCCTGTCTCGTTTCTGCGAACTTTTTAAACGTTCGAAGGATGAAATAATTTTTATCAACGTTTTCCGGGATAAAGGAACGAAAAATCCGTCCTAACAGCGCTAACCAGGCCTGTTTACTCACTGAAAACTTTTTTATCTCGTGGCACAGTTCAGGTTAGGTGCGTTAACGAAACTTTAGCCGCACCTCGGCATTTTTACATTGCTTTGCATTTCTATTCATATACATTTTCGCTTCCCGTGTACTTTTATCTCTTCTGCGTTGTATTTTTACTAACATAAAATGAATAGAAGAAATAGATGTTTTCGAGACACGTATTCATGTTCGTACAATGCACGGTTCTTATGTAGGTCATCTTCAGACGTCAGGAAATATTAATGCCACGAAGTAAAAATTCTTTACCAAGATTTACTTTCGTCGCGTTTTCTCTTACGAGTTTTTGTAAAATAACAGCAAAATTATTAATTCTCGATTAAAAAAATCAAATACTTGACTCGACGTTAATTTAAATTCAAAATGGTGGTAACAGTTTCGTTAAAATTAATCCAGTTCGATTAAGTTTTCTACGATTTTCTAGATACGCGATGGTTCGTAAAAAAAAACTAATTTCACGATTTTCTTGTGGATTATTTTCGAAACTTACCTTGGATTTTCGATTGGCAGATATTTGTCGTGTGTCTTTCTACGTGGAAAACGTTGAACATTCGTGGCTCTTCGTGTCGATGCGTGGAACTGACTGAGGAAGTATATTTTTTCTCCCCGCTGGTTAATGATTTCATAAAAATGCATGAGCCGTGGTGCGTGATCATGACAAACGATCATTTGCACAGAATGGTATTACGTTGACGATTAATTAAATCCCCGATCAAACTACCAAAATCGTCGTGTTCTGTCTATTATCGTCGACGATGGTGGCCGACATTTATTTTTTCCACGTCGATCGTTTTAACAACTCGACGCCCACAAAGATTTTGAACAGATTTCTCTCCGGTCGAAATTTAAACAATCGATTTATAAATAATCTGAATCTGTCTTTGATATAGCTCTCATGCATAAATATTTCCGATGGTATTTTTGGGAGGACGTATATTTCTTTATTTACAGTGATCTAATTAATATCAGAAACAAAAACCTTGGAAAAGCATGTTTTACCATTACTCATAGTTTGAAATTAGCCAAAGTTTCCTATTGTCAATTTTAAATGAGTACCAAAACAAACGAATTAAATTTCACAATTTGTAGTTATCGTTTATTTTAAGAATTTCATACTCAAACGTTTTAGTTTCGAGGATGTTCTCCCAATGTTTCATATCAAACTTTATAGCAAATATAGGTGGTGAATGTTACAATGTTTGAAATTTCTCGATCGTGAAATTTATATTGTTTCCTACAAATCAGGAAAATCTTACCTTCGAACGTCGTTTATGAATATTCACAGCGTCCAGAAAAACTTACTACGTAAGTGGATTTGTACAATTTTTTTTTTAAACCTCTTCTCAGCCATATATCGTGTTCTACGATACGTTAGAGTTTGCACTCTACAAACATTACATAAATTTCAATACATTTTGCTTCTTGCGTAATACTTTTTTGTTCGTCAGGTGGATCTCGAATCCTTTGAATCGTCTTGCATTCTGCTCGAACGGTGTGTAAACCATAAAACTTCCCGCTTATCGGTCGGTGACCTTCGTGACGATATAACCCTTTCTGAATCTCGCGAGAGCTTCGCGAGTTCGAAATGCTTCGATCGAAAGATACTTAAACTTCCCGTCGTAACTCCACTGGGGAGTTCCGGTACAAGAGGATGCTTTTATCCTCGTCTCTTCCGAGTTAATTAATTATCAAACTGTAGGTGACCGTTGTTGTCTCGACAAATCGATGGGTGGGACGTCGACGCTCTGTAGCCGATTATAAACGAGCTTACAGCGAGCGGTGGAAGCGTATTTTGCTCGCCAGCGAACCGAATCTTTGGGCTTTTGGCTAGATTGCAACATCTTAAAATTAATTCGATTATTTAATAACATAATTTCGTTCGAAATGACAGGAACTTCCACACCGTAGAAATCCATGAAACGTAAAATTGGTAAATTAATGCATACACGATGAAATTTAATGTTTATTTTTCAAACTAACCAATCGATCGTACATTTCTTCAAAAGAATACTGTCCATTCGACGAGTCGAAATCTGTAAATCAGTATTGCTAATCATCAATTTTAATTACCCATTTGAATATTTACCACGCATACAAATTCTTGCTCTTCTTTTATGGTGAACTATACAAGGTTTCTTCTTCATGGAAAGCGTAGAGTGCTCGAATTTTCGTGCAAAGGTTGAAAATTCAGGTACATCGATGGAAGTAATTTAGCAGTGAAGTTAACAAATAAACCAGTTAGGTTTATAAAACTTTAATTCAATTTCTTTTTAATTTTAAATCAAACCGTTCTGTTTGCTCGTTCGAATTATTTATCTCGCTGTTAAACGTTCTCGTTTTCCTTCGATATACACACTTTTTCGCCCCATTATCGATCGACTGGAGACTCGAAAAGTTACACAGTCGAAACACCACGATATCAAACATATCATTAGCCAGCTAACGACAAGGGTACACGTTATCTGTGGATCTACCTCCCACCCACAGAGTATCACCCTCCGCTTTGCCAGCGATCTTTCCCCTTATCGTCTGCGAATAATTACACTAATTCCGCCGAAAATCATTCGCACGCGACTTCCCTCCAAGGTTCGACTCGACGACCAACAACACCCCCTCTCGTCCGTTAAAAAAAAAAAAAGACGAAAAGTCAGGCAGTTTCGCGAGTCCAACTTCGAAGCAACGACTCTAACTCGTGCAAGCGTAGAACTCGAACGACCCTTAATTTTAATTAACGTCCCTCGATCTATACATATATATGTTTTAATTAAAAAGGACAGCGACTCTTTTATTTGACCGTATAATTACAGTAGAATTTTTAATATTTATTTTAATAATAATAAAACGTTCATCCATCCCGTGGATTGTTTTAATCGTTCGATGGTAGGATTTACGTAATTTTTTTTTTTTCCGTCGAGAACCAAAGAGGTCTTGGCACGATAATTGCGTTGCAACGTTTCTTGAAAAAAAAAACGAGATCACGCCTGCGGCTCGAAAGAGCGAGGGAGGGGGGTGAGAGATTAAAAAGGTGACCGAATGGCCACGTTTGCCCCTTTTAACCCGACCCTGTCTTTGAAAGCACAATCTCGAGAACGAGGGGGTTGGCTGTTAACCAACTTGCAGCACGCGATCCACCCATTGGCGCCTAAGAATTGCTCGGCCGTCGAGTTATCGAGTCGAGAAACGCGACGAGCAGCGATTCACTTTCATCGCTGTTGGCCTTTTCGATCGATGCGTGAGAGATGGATACGTGTCTTTAAAAAATTCATCCTCGATCGCGATTCTCGTGGATGATCGATGCGTTCGAAACGCATCTAAAAAAAAAAAATAGCATCGAATCGAACGATAAAAAAGAAAGCGAACCGCGCGTAAGAATCGGACGCATTATTTGTGTTTCGTTGATTCGTGTGTGCTTGGCGAGTAACCATCTCGAATTACGGTTGTGTTGCAGAAAACTGGAGCGAGGATCAAGATCTATTCGCACTGCTGTCCCCACAGCACGGATCGGCTGATCAGCATTTGCGGGAAACCGAACACGTGCATCGAATGCATTCGCGAGCTGATCGCCACCATCAAGACCGTGAGTAGAGTATTACGTGTTCATTCGTATACCTAATCCTTAGAAGACCGTACAGAGACGTCTTGTTATTAAGTTTTCTATTCATCATGTTTAAAAAATTCTCTGAATACGATCAAAATGTACGCTAATAGGCTGCATCGCGTTGAGCGGGTCGAGAAAACTAGGTTCGATGAACGAGACTGGTTTGCAATCTGGCTCAAGAGGTGTAGGCCAGTTTCGTTTATAGCTCTTCCGTTTAAAACGATGCTAGTGAGAGATTCTTAACCTCTTTGTTGCTACGAAATGCCACAAAATGCAATACTGTGGGAATAGGAAATCTAATGGAATTTTTAGATTCTGTAATTTGACAAATTTTTTTTTGGACTCTGTGTTGAGTCGATTTTCTGTAAACTGTCGTTAAGGTTAAATAGCTTTTTAAAAAGATGGTGACAGTATTGATTCTGTGCACCCCAAGAATTCATTTTAATACACTAGCCACTATAATGCAGTTTTCTGATGCTGCTTTTTGAAATTAAAATTAGCCTCTGTCCCAGAGAATATTTATAATTTCTATTAAACTTAAAACACCTTCCCCTGGGAATCGCAAGTAGAAAAATAGAAATAAAATTTTGACGATTCAGAGATTACATTTTTTTGGTATTATTCCCCGCTGCCTGGAAATTCTGGTCTTCGAGGGTTAAATGAAGTTCAAAAATTGTTTCTGATCGCTTGGTGTTGATATCTTTTTTTTTCTCCAGTCCCCGCTGAAGGGTGTGAACAACCCTTACGATCCCCACAACTTCGATGACTTCTACGCCGAGGATTACGGTGGTTATGGAAGCGGCGAGGGTGGTCAGGGCAAAGGTGGCGGATTCGGCGGTGGTCCAGGGGTACGAGGCGGCGGCGGGGGCGGCGGTGGTGCACGCGGGGGCGTGGGAATGATACCCAGACGCGACCATCGCAGCGACATGAACCGACCTTTTGTTCTGTCGCCAAGAGGAGGACTTCCTGGTGAAGGCGGTGGAGGTGGCGGCGGCGGTGGCGGCGGAATGTCCGGTGGTCCACCCAATCGTGGCTACGGAGGCAATCGTGGTAGCGGCGGCGGCGGCGGCGGGGGTGGCTACGAGGGCAATCGAGGCGGTGGCTACGGTGGCAACAGGGGTGGCCCGCCGCCATACGGTGGTGGAAACTATAATGGTTAGTATTATAAATACGTTCGGCGGTGCACGCTTTAATTTCATGCGTGGTTCATTTTTTATTTCACTTTACGTTCAGGCGATATGTGTAAATAAAAAACGGGCAGAGTAGGCTCATTTTTGTTTGAGAACAGCGTTCTTTGGGAATTTTTAAAGACTTTCTCGAGCCAATAGACACTGAGTCGCGGGGATGGATCGTTCAAATTAACCATCATACAGAAAATAAGACGAAAATCAAGAATATCAATTTCTTGACTGAGGCTTCGTTGAAAAGTTATTAAAAAATTTCAAATCGTTCTGGAAAAATTATTTTCGGTTCCGGGGGTCAATTACCGTCATTTTTGGTGAATAGACATACCCCAGAAATCCTACCCATTTTCGGGGAAAAAATTCGAGAAGCTGTGAAATTTTTCGACAAAATTAAAAAATTTCAAATCGTTCTGGAAAAATTATTTTTGATTCCGGGGGTCAATTACAGTCATTTATGATCATTAGACATACCCTCGAAATCCTATCCACTTTCGAGAAAAAAATTCGAGAAGGTTGAAATTTTTCGACATAATAACAAATTTCAAATCGTTTTGGAAAAATTATTTCTGGCTGCGGGGGTCAATTACAATCATTTCTGATCATTAGGCATACCCTCGAAATCCTACTCACTTTCGAGAAAAAAAATTCGAGAGTGTGAAATTTTCGACAAAATTAAAAAGTTTCAAATCGCTCTGGAAAAATTAGTTTTAGTTCCGGTGGTCAATTACAGTCATTTTTGGTGAATAGATATACCCCTGTAATCCTACCCATTTTCGAGAAAAAAATTCAGTAAGGGCGGAACTTTGAACGTTAATAACTTTTTAACGAAGCCTCCATCAACAAATTGATATTCTTGATTTTCGTCCTATTTTGGCCCCTAGAATCTCCCATTACAATTTTTCCCAGAGGTGGCCGAGAACACCCTGTATTAAATGAAAGCGTGCACTACTGTTTGATTGTCAGAAAGTAATCTCAACTTAGTAAGATCCAGGAGAAAAGATTTTTACAAATAAATATACTTGATATCGTGATGTAGAAAGATATCGTGATCTTGGTAAATTATGCTGGAAATAGGGGTTGTCGGAGTATTGGAGAATAGTATAAGTAACTTGATCGCCTGTCATCTTATAATTGTTACATTTTGCCTAGGTGATGGATGGGGAATGCAAGGAGGAGGCGGAGGCGGCGGTGGAGGAGGTGGAGGAGGAGGAGGCGGGGGTGGAGCACCGAATGGTCTGGGTGGCGGAGGTGGCGGCGGCGGAGGTAACTCTGGAATGAGTGGTCCGCCCATGGGTGGCGGTAACAATCAAGGCAACCAGGGCAACATGGGTGGAAACAAGACCAGCACTCAAGTCACCATTCCTAAAGACGTAAGTAAAAATTCAATGAAAACAGCATTAACCAATAAACAATGAATAAGTCTTGGTAGTCCAAATAGCATTTTATTTAGGGGGAGTAATCTGGTATAGAATTTTAAAAATATCAATTTTTCTTCCCTTCTACATTTTCTTAAAACCTCAGATCATTTGACTGGTTCAAAACAAGCTACAGAAAATTTTTATTTTTCATTGTGAACAAACCTCATCTGTTACAAGTTATTAAAACAGAACCAATAAAGAATAAATACCATCATAGTCTTGGTAGCTCAAGTAGTATTTTATTTAGGAACTAGCCTGGTCTAGAACTTTGAAAAATTAGCAAAGATACAGAAGTATCGATAGTAGATCAATCGACTCGTTCAAAAGAAGGCTACAGAAAATTTTTATTTTTCATTCTTCTGTCTTTTCCTTTTGTGAATATTTCTCGACAGTTACACGTTGTTAAATGTCGAATGTCTTTTCGATTTACAGCTTGCTGGAGCCATTATCGGCAAGGGAGGCGCCAGAATCCGTAAAATCAGATCGGACAGTGGTGCTGGAATCACTATAGACGAACCATTGCCCGGTAGTAACGATCGCATCATCACCATTACCGGAATGCCCAGTCAGATACAAATGGCCCAGTACCTGCTTCAACAAAGGTAATTGTTTGCATCGTATAATTACTCCTTAAACAATCCACATTGTCGCTCCAACCGCATATATTTGTACACTCATCTATTTTAACGACAAACTCTGGTCATAATGAACAATTAACATCCACTTATAATTACAATGCCATTTTTCCTTCTTACGCCTTATTAATATCATACCCTCCTTTAATTTTGCGTTAACTTTATATTCAAATGTGTCATTCGCGAAAGTTACGCGAAATATTCTATAATTCATCTTTTATCGTAATTGCGTTTCTTGGAAAGCGTTGTACAAAGTGTTCGAATGATTCTGTGAAAATTTCTTATGGTAAGACCAAATGTAAATTGGAAGGTGCAGCAAAAATACTTAAAATAAAAGTATGTTCAAGTATCTGTGTAGACAATATATTTTCTCAGGAAATATTGCGTATTTCAGTCACTTCTTACATTTTCGAACGAGGTGTACAAGATACAAATTTTTACATTTCCATAATAATGGCAGAGTATTGAAAAGGTGATTCGACTATCGCGACGGTCGAGTTTTTAAAATGCGCAATAATTTTTGGGACGTCCGTCTAATATAAAAACAAGAATCTCGCTTATGTAACACGAGATTACACGTCAGAAGAGTTTCGAAGATTCCTCTTGAGAAATGTAGGTGAGTTCCAAAGAGCGCAACGCGAAAGAAGGCCAACGCTGGGTCACCAGATCTCCGCTACTAATCCATAGTTCGTAAACTCGTTGAAACCATTACGACAGATTGTAACATTGCCAGTCTTCGCGCCATGCTGATATCACATTAACATCCGCTTATCACTGCCAATTATAGTACATACATATATATATATAACAAGCGACCACGCTCTCAAGTTCACGCCAGCCAAGCAACTAATTCCGCTTCACGCATCGTCGCGTCGCATCGTGTTCTCATCCTAGCACGAGGAACTAACAAAAACCCGACTAACCAAACGAAGGAGGGGTTGGAAAGGGAGGACGGATGGTAACCCTCGCGATGGTGGAGGAGAAAATCGAAGGTGGACCGTGGTTGCGATGGAAGGAGGCTATATAGAGCAACGAGGGGTCAGCTAGGCTCAACTTAAACGTGGGACTAATCGAGTGCCGTTGTATGGAAGACTAGTGATTTTGTTGTTCTACTTTCGATGTAACAAGGAATCACTAATCATCCTACGAAGGCACTCGCGATCGTCGGCTTCCGAGACCTGCTTTTGGAACTAACATCAACCCCGCTGTGGCTCCGTTTTGCTCGACGAACACGTGCAACACGATCCTCGCGCTGTAACGGAGCGAAAACCCTTGTTCTCGCGCTTCGGGAATCTATTACGTGCACTGTACCTACAAACTAGCGTAGCTTCGACTCCATAGTAAATTAGTTATTACGTAAGTGGATCGTTCGTGGCCAAGAAATCTTCCTTTCGGAAACGTTCAAAGAACTTTTGTTCCAAGAATATTTGAAAACGAGTATGATGATTATTATTATCACTGTGCCCCTTTATCATCGAATTTACCATTGGTATTGCATGGCGGAATTTCCTTAAGCAATCTTTTATTTAAAGTGTACATCTTACTCCAAATTGCGACCTTGTGTATTTGAATATCTTAACACATTGACTGCCACGTCACCCACAATATGGGTGACACGACTTTTCACCATGGAGTTAAAAAAATTAATTCTCAAGCTTAAATGTCAAAGAATATAAAGCTAGGTAGGGCCCTTGAATTTTAACGGGTTTGTGAAAATAAATTGAATAACAAATGATGGGTATGCTAGTTTGGTAGTCAACGTGTTAAACAAACAGGACTCATAGTAACTTTAGGATCGTTATACTACTCGATTCACCGAGTGCAAGTGTAAACAAAAAACGCAAAGTATTATTACATATAAAAGAACACCGCATTCGTCTTGGGTATTTATAAGTACAGCTAATCACCTCGATCACAATTGCGTTGGTGGTGGTATGTTTCTTAACTTCCATAAATGTTACTTTTATAGTAATTGTGTCGAAGCTTTGAATAATAGCTTCGAACCGGGTGATTGTCGCAAGGTCTATAAATTTTTGCAATCAATCTATGGAACGTCTACGTCGAGAGGATCTAATCGAGGATCTTTTACAGTATGTTTGATATTGGCGTGGACAAGATGACACTGAAACAATTAACAAATTCATAAACATTAATCGACACAGGTAGAAATCTTCATATTTCTCGAATTCGTCACGGTACCCTAGGAGTTTGTGTTTAAATTCTGACCAATGATTTTCTATCGAATCGAGCATGAGACTGGGACGGACAGCATTGTTCGTTTCTTGCGTTCCACTCGGTAGAAAGGCGAGCTCGGTGTTGATACAAATGTTATATGATACAGATACTCAATGCCCCCCCTTTTTGGTCAAAAGAATTATGCCCTTCAACGCGACAATGTCCACGCTCTTATTAAACAGACTGTATGTTACTTCTGTTGTAGCGTGCACGAGAATGCAGACCATTATTAGGACGTGGTGAAGGAAGCATTCGGGGGGAGCCAAAGATGCGTTTGTAATTTTTTTAGGGATACTTCACAAACGGGCAAGCATATTCACGCGAGAAGCGGAAACTGGAAACTTGATAATTACGGACTTCATCCGCATAAAGGGAACCCACGCGCACGGAAACACACAAGTTTCTCCTTGTGCGTTGCCAGACGAACAAAGCCTCTCTCAGGAAGAAAAAACCTCGATCGGTCAGACTCGACAAGGAGAGAATTATTATAATTTCCATACGATTCCACGGATCCGCCTGCAATGGAAACGAAAACGGGAAACGAGTAACGGTAAAACAGTTCTACGCTCGCCCCCTGTCAAGAATTTAAAAAAAAAAAAAAAATTGAAGAGGAACAACCACCGTTGTTCTTTGTCCAAGAAAGGCCAAAGAGAAAAAGTAAAATGGAATGCATTATTGTTTTCTTTTATTTTTCGTACGGCGAGAAAGAAAACGTTCTCGCGTACGCGTTTCGGTCCCCTTAACCCTATTTTTTTCTTTTTGATCGTTTTGTATCGCATGATTTTTGTCGACGTCTGCGGACGAGCTTTGATAATCATTTTTTTCCCGTTTACCTTCCCCCTCGTGTTTTTTTTTTTTTCCTTTTTAATACGATCGTAATCGGAGGATTCGAGGCTGCTTCCAGCCCTCGGATTTTAAAGCGCACACACATCATTGTCTATTTTTTCCTTTCGCCTGCTCGCTACAGATACTTCGCGGAGTTCGTTGAATCGCTACGAACTTCGAGAAACGGCATAATTTCTTCGAATAATGGATAGAAACAGGAAACTTAACCAAACAATGATAACGCGGATAACAATTTTCTCGTATAAAGTAACTCGAAAGAATTTTGTAATAATTTCGAAGCAATTGGCTCTGACAACTGCCTGACACGTGTCACTATGATTCTCGATCACTGCGTCTCAAGATATTTACATTTGATATTCACGGTGGCGTCGAACAGGAGTCGATTTCTCGTCCAAACGATAGACTACGCTTCCTTTTTTTTTCTTTTGTACGAAGCTTTGTGTTCAAGAAGATCGGTTTGGAACGACGATTGAAATTTTTTTGGTAGTTTGCGCGAGCACGACCATTTTCTAGGTCGTTTTTCTTGTCGAAATGGGAAAAAAAGCAAATAGTATCTTGCAATTTTGATTCGTTTCTGGTCGAGGAATCACATCCTGCAGTCGTATCTTAAAAAACACTCAATCGCAAATGTGTTCATCCACGGGAAGCTTGAAACTATTTGGCTGGGTAAAAATATCGAAATAACTATGCGAGACCATTGTAATAACGTCGTCTGATAGCGAAAGGGATGATGGCCGGGTAAAGCCAAGAATCAGTGGAAAATGTAGCGGTAAGATCAAAGGAAGGGACGGATAGCCGAGAGAGGAGAAAGACAAAGAAACGAAACGGGACATAATTATTCTAGTACGCGGAAGGAATTTTTGTATATACATATGAAAAGAAACGAAAAAAAAGCTGCTATAGAAAATAACGGAGAAAAAGAGAAGCCACTAACAAACAATCCTTTTCCTTTCCTTAATCGCCACGTACCCACGTTTCTGCGGTTGCATCATGATTATTATTATTATTATTATATTATTATTACTGTACGATTATCAATAAGAATAATTTTGCATTAATTATATTTCACTCCCTTCCCCCAAGTCTCTTGTACTAATAATACCCTCATTCGTAGATCGAGCGCGTAATGGGCGTTCTTAATTTTACGCGGTATAATTGTTAAGTGTCTAGAATTACGTAAGAAAGCGTATAAGCGTTACGAAAGGGGCACCATCGGGATGACGAATCACGGTGTGGTGGAATCAAAAAAAAAAAAAAAAAGAAAAGAAAAAAGAAAAAAAAAAGAATCATTTGCAACGAAGTCTGATACTGTGTTTAGAACGTATGAATACACGTTTAAGAAGCTAGTGGAGATTGTTAAACTTTAAGAACAGTGAACGAACATTACGCTGCTTCCTGTACCGTACGGAGTTCATTTCTGTTTGATCGACGACGGTGCGGAAGAAACGATACAGTCATTTCGCCAGTTTACTTGGGTTACACGAGTGCTCGTACTCAGTGTTATTAAAGTTTAACGTATCGAACATCGAATACCGGATGTCAAGAGTCTGAAAGGGAACACCTTACCGTCTACGTTGCGTTTCAATATAGAAGAGGGCAACAGTGCTAGAATAACGATTGTTCTACTTTGGGGTTGCCTTGTTTTCAAGATTTTCCATTTTTCGAGAAGTTGAAAATCGTAAAGCTAATAGAGGAAACTAGACTTCCTGAAACTACTTTAAACCTCAATTGCATGACGTTTACGATTGAAAAATTAATGAAATCAAGACAAATTGCAATTACAATTAAAAATAGTCGGTGCAATTGTATTACGATTTACGAGAAACGAGTCAACATATACGAGTAATAAACTGCAGATTAATACCAAATAACAATGCATCAAGTATAACAAATTTTAAACCGTAATTCTGTAAACGTTTCTCGTACCTTGTACCTACTAATTTGGTTCACCAAGTCTCGTAAGACTTTTAATTTTATTTGCAAGAAAAGATCGATCGCCAAAAGTGGCGTGCCTCTTCGATCGTTCGACTCTACTGTCTCCAACCCCCCCTTGGGAACGTTTAGGTGTTCCTTTTCGGGAGTTTGCACGTCGAAGCGCGGGTTCTCGGAACAGATAATGCCGCAGAAGTCGAAAAGCCGACCTAAAGTTCGAACGAACTCGTCCTCTTTCCTTTTCCTCGAGACCAACGCCGTGCCCTGAGGAAAACTCGCAACACCCCTACCTCTCTCTCCTCCATCCCCCGACGGTACAGTCCCAACACAGAGCAACCATAATGTAGAAAAAAAATAGACAAGAAACCCCCCTTCTCGTCGGGGTGAGACTACAAAGGGCATTTTTTGTTTTTAACGCATCTCAATCGAACGACAGGCGGTTCCCCGAACCAGCCCCCTTATTCTTAGGTTTAACGAAAGAAATCACCCCCTCCTCCTGACGACGATCCAGCCATCCCCCCATCCACCCACCCAAGCTTTTGTGTTTTTCCGTCGCGGTCGCAAGTGCGAAAATCAAAAATGGAAATTACGTCCAGCGTGCATTTTCGTTCGACTCTACGATCAATTTATACCGTCTAACGGCTACGGGGCGATTCGAAAATATTTCCGAGCAACTCTTCTCCCTTAGAAACGAGACGAAAGAAGGAATACAAGCGGGGTGAACGCGTAAATTCGACAATAGCCTGAACGCTTATTTTAAACATTTCTTTTTTGTTACGATGTAAATTTAAAATATGTTTTGGAAGAATTTTCCTGTTCCATTTAAGTTCACGCGATGTTTGTAAACTTAAAAATTGATATCGAGATCGTTGATCGGGAACAAATCGTGGGGGGAGGGGGGTGGAGGATGTAATATTTTTAAATCGTTCCGACGCCAATTCGCACGATAAGGATTACACACGGAACAGGTGACACAAGCATACACACACCTATACTCACACACACACACAGGCGTACACGAGATGTGTGAAAGGGAGAGAATTAGGTGCGTTTTTTGTGTGTATCTGCGTGGAGACGGAAAACTCTTCTCCCGTTGGAAGAAAAAGGAGGGGAAAGCTTGTAATCGTGATCCGCGAAGGGTTGAACGAGGGAGAGAGAGAGTGAAAAAAAGTGTACAAGTAATATAAAAATATATGGGTGAAAGAGAGGGAGAGAGAGAGAAAGAGAGAGCCATAAACTCGCTCGTATCACGATGTGTGTACTATATAAGATATACAGTTTACAATTATTTGTAATGGATACTTTTTATTTGTCAAATAAAAGTGAAATTAGTACAAACGAAGGTGAAAGTAGGAGTGCTTCTTCCTTCTCGCACTTGGAAACCAATTGTTTGTCGCTGATTAATTTCCTTTTTTAAAAACGAGCAGAGAAACAAGGTCTGTAATTAAAGTAATATTTTATTTAAATAAGTTTTTACAATTCTCCTACGAGGTATAGTTTAATTTAACAAAAATCTTTGGTTCGATGAAAGATGCACTGATCGATCTCTTCGCATTTTTTCGTAGTCATTCTTATAATCCGAGGATGACCCTCAATAAAGTAATACATATTTTTATCACATCCAGATATATTCTTCGTACTTCGGGGTTACACAGTTCATTGCTGGCTTTCTACCACAATTGAGCATTAAGACACATGCAGAGTTACGTGACATGTATTATATCAATGATACGCTTAGCAACGTTGCACTTCCTTGGACAGTTTCTTCCCATTTATCAAGCTTATGATAAAATACCCAAAACGTCACGCTTTTGTTCCATGCTTACTGGAATTAGATCGATGGAGCATACTTGTCATTTTAATTAATTATTCGCCTATAATTTACCAGCATCCATGACTTGCGGATTAAAAACAGCTAAGGTGTCCCAGGGACAGGATGTTGAATACTATATATCAATTAATTCTCCAATAACAGTCACATTTCACGTAGAATAATTAAATTAAACTTAGAAAACCTCAAAGTAATCGTGATTCATATTCAAAGTAACAGCGACTCTTCTTCAACAATTTTTTTAAAAAGAATCACCAATTTTTAGAAATTGTTCACCATAATTATGCTTCTATATTACTATTCTAAAAATAAATTCGACTTGGAAGTTTTCAGAACATGTGGGGTTCATGTTCCAACTTGGAGTAATTCTTTGTTAGTAATTGCTCGTCGTATAATAATAGAATGATTGTAATGAGAAATCGCTGTTAGAGTGATTTGAAGCTCGAGAAATGGAGTCGAATTTTTAGTCTCGTTTTGAATGAAAGGAACAAAATGTTTGGGTATTTTACCATTCGATCGTTTCGCGAGCACTCAACAATTCTGGTCGTGTTCGTGTTGGTGAAAGGTGTCACGGTAAAGGGAGCTGGGGGTGCGATGCATCACCGTCACGTACGAACTTCCTGACGCTGGCGTCGCCGTCGGGTTCGGCGTCGGCGTTAACAACGGCGTACCCTGAAGACTAATGGCCAGTGGAAGGGCGGTCGGGGTGCAGAGGCTCATCGCGTTGCGACCACCCTCTGTCACAGAACGATATCTCGGTGGCCTTGCCGACCTGGAAAACGTTCTGTCTGCAGAAAGCTGCATCATGGACGAATAATAACGTCGTCAAGTCCCCTCAGGGGTTTCTCCGACCACCCTATTACACGTCCTCCCACAAAACTATGAGGGTCCTTACGTAACCAAAAGTATCTGATATTTAATAATTTTTGTCCGGAGAAACTATCGTCAGTTTGGGTTGAATTTCTCCGGGGATATGAGGAGGCATTTTTACATTGCAAAACAATTTTTTTTCATATTAAATCGCCTCAGTATTAATCCCTTGACGTACGATTTAATTATAAGTCATTTTTCGTATCTATACTAGGTGGTTAATAGGTAGGTATAAATTTTCTAGTGCTTATGCTTGCTTAATGCATTGTCAATCCAATCAGTGATTATACTGACTATGCAAACTAAGAGGGTTGTTATATAACCACTCTAAAAGTATCTGATATGTAATAATTTTTGCTGGAGAAATTATCATCAGTTTGAGTTGAATTTTTGGGTTGAAACAACATAGAATTGATGATGAAATTAAGAGAGCCTAGACAAGAATTAATTTTCGAAGAACATGCAGATTTACAATCACTTGGGTTAGCAGTTGTTACTAGTTTTAGTTAGCAGAAGTATCATTTGGCAAATCCACTCACCTGGAACACTTGCATTTCAATAATCGAATGAACGCAGCCCTGAACGTTCTGTTGAAGATGGTATAAATGATTGGATTGATGGTGGATGATACGTATCCGAGCCAGAGGCACGTGTCCACCACGTGGCCAGGCACCGGGCACTCGGGACACGCGGCGAAGAAAATGTTCAGAAGGAAGAATGGCGCCCAGCAGAGGACGAATGTGAAGAACACTAGGCCCAACACCTTGCTGGCCTTTTGCTCCGTGGCCACTGCGTTCGCCGCCAAGGATCTTCTTTTCGTTCGGCCCGCTAGAAACCTGATCAAACGGATTGTATTATTAACGGAGCTTACGAGTTCCATCCATGCAAATTTTCCTTAGAATAACGTTCTTAAATATTAGTTAAATCGATGGTGAACATTCTGACGCGATCAGATAAACGGAAATGGAAAATGTTTCGACTGGAATCGAAAGTGTCGATGGTCGAAAGCATCGTCGTAGGAGACGTCTGGTTCGAAAGTTCGCGATTGCAATTGAATCTGAGGGCAGTCGGAGGTTTGAACAATTTCGAGAAGGTCGAGATACGAGTGGCCCGTCGACACGCCATTTGCATTCGCAAATAGGTATTCGTGCTCAAAGGCTAATCCAGCACAGTCTCGCGCGGACGTAATACGTTCCGTGCTAACATTAATGCAAGATCAACCTCGCGTGAGGGGCAGTCGTCGCGCGAAAATCCCGAGGCAGGGAATTAAGCGGACGAGCAATCTCCGCGAACCAGAGGGCCATTGATTTTCCACAGAAACACCAGCCACGGTAGGAAAACCATTTACTAAAAATTATCGAAGACAATGGTATGTATGGTCAGACATATTTTCGGTGAGGAATTTTTTTCTCGAAAGTGCGTAGGTTTCGAGGGTATGTCTATTCACCAAAAATGCTTGCAATGGACCCCCGTAGCCGTAAATAATTTTATTAGAACGATCTGAAATTTTTTAATTTTGTCAAAAACTTTCACACCTTCTCTAATTTTTTTCTCGAAAGGGGGTAGGATTTCGAGTGTATGTCTATTGATTAAAAATGCTGTTTAGCACTTTTTTGTAGGTATCCACGAACTCTACTTCCCCCTAAAATTTCGTTCAAATATATTCACTATTGTAGGAGTTATGGTCGTTCGAAATTTCGACAGCGTTTATGGGGTTTTTTCTAACTTTACGGTGTTAAGGAACAACTTTTCGTATATTTTTAGGATTTCTACGTATTCTTGACTAAAATACGCGTTGTTTGCCTGTTGAAACATCAAAATCGTCCAATCCGTTCAGAAGTTATGACGTTTTAAAGATGTGCATGAAATTTTAGTGAAACATATCAATGGTATGGTCAGACATATTTTCAGGAAGGAATTTTTTTCTCGAAAATGGGTAGGATTTCGAGGGTATGTCTATTCACCAAAAATGCTTGCAATGGACCCTCGCAGTCGAAAATAATTTTATTAGAACGATTTGAAATTTTTTAATTTTGTCAAAAACTTTCACACCTTCTCGAATTTTTCTCTCGAAAGGGGATAGGATTTCGAGGTTATCTCTGTTCACCAAAAATGCTTGCAATGGACCCCCGCAGCAGAAAATAATTTTATTAGAACGATCTGAAATTTTTTAATTTTGTCAATAACTTTCACACCTTCTCGAATTTTTTTATCGAAAGGGGGTAGGATTTCGAGAGTATCTCTATTCACCAAAAATGCTTGTAATTGACTCCTGCAGCCGAAAATAATTTTTTTAGAACGATCTGAAATTTTTTTTTTCTTTCGAAAAATTTTGACACCTACTCGTATACCTCGTCTCGTGGCTCAACATTATCGTTGTGTATAAACTTCTGCTGGGGTCGAAAGTCGCCACTGCGGTACGAAGAACGAATTAATTTGACTTGTACTCTGAAACGTAACATTTCGTAGCCGTTGGTGAATTTATCATACATGGAAAATTTACCTCAAATTGAGGGTGTTAGGCGTGACGTTCAGTTGCAGCTTCAGGGCCCTCAGAGTGAAGTTTCTTGTTTCGCGGGCAATGTTCTCCGGCGTTTGAGTGGCTTGATCCACTTTCGACGTCAGTTTCGTCCCAGCGGCGCTTCCGGTCGGACTTCCGGCTCCGTTCACAGTGAAATTCAACGTCGACCGCGGTTTACTCTGCTTCGTGCCCTTGCACCTGTTACATTTTAGAAAAACGTGGCGGCTGTAACTCGATCAAACCGAAAACCGTGGTTGTTTCTTGTGAAACACGAAGTCGGTCATTTCGTCGCGCGAAGAGTATCGATATCGAACAATTTTAAGTCTGTATATCAATAAGCGTAATATTCAACTCAAGACCAAGAAGTATTAAAAGATTGGAAAATGGGGACATCGATGTGATTCCATTCGCGCGGTTCCAGGCCCTATGTTCAATGAATAATAACTAGGACGGGCGTAAAGGAAAATACAATTTCTCCAATTTTCCATTCTCCCTTTTTTCGTTCTAAGTACCGTCCCTCGGTCACGTTTCGCGAGTATTATTTTCCCCCGGTTAATTTTTTCTCCTGCTAATTCGATCGCCGGGACCCTTCGCGGCAATTTAGGTGCACGTCGACGCCATTAGCGAAGAAAGGTCGACGACAGGACGAAAAAAAAATTTTTAATTCCATTAATGCTCTCCGAGCGTCGCGCGGCTCTGTCCTCGTGGGAGTTAAATTGCATTCGCCGGCGTCAACATGGAAGACGCCGAACGTTCGGACGCTCCTTTCCTCGGGGTAAATTAATTACCCCCGATCTACAAGGGAACCGCGACGTCCGTCGAATAATGACCGCGATTGTCCAATGTGGCCAAATTTTCTCGAGTCATTGTCTTCTCGAAACCAGAAATTCAACCTTCAATTTTGTTTCGATACCGTAGCTGGGTCCAGAGAAAGCTATTATTTACGGAAAAAGACTGGCTGGTAATAATGCGATCTTGTATGCATCTTGTATAGAAATTTAAACTCATTTTCGATTAAATAAACAATTTGTAAATCGATAGGAATTTCTGAAACTTCCTTGGGTGCATAGTGTCAAAGTAAATGTGTAATTAAACATAGAAGACATCATAAATTAGGGTAGTTGATATGGTCGTCGGATAGGGGATGAAATGCCCTTTAAAATGAGCGTTTGTACGAGTCGATAGCTTTATTAGTTCCGGAGATATAGCAATTTTAGTTTCAAGTCGATGCGGTGGCTAGTTCCGGAAATATAAGGGTCCGAAGCTTTGTTTACATTCTTACTACGGCCTTGTCAAGGTCGTTGACCGCGCGCGCGCACATTGAAAGTAGGTCAGTCGGCCACGACAGTCACGAGTCACGTGCGAGAAAGAGAGGTCCAGCGCGACGTGTCAGACGGAGACAGAGATAGTCGAATTAAAAAAATTACCCCTTTACATAAATTACGATATCTCGAAAACGGGAAGTCCGATCGACAAAAACAAAAAACCATTTTAAAGGGGAAGGTTCACCGCTGCTAATGACGCCTTAATAATTGATAAAGCACTAGTAGTTTCGGAACTGCACGCGTCTAAAGTTTTAGTATTTTTCATACGTGTTACTAGGCTTCCGTAAGACGGACAGTGGAATTTTAAAAATTACCCTTTTACATAAATTGTGATATCTCCGAAACGGAAAGTCCGATCGACAAAAATCAAAAGCCATTTCAAAGGGGAAGGTTCACCGCTGCTAATGATGTCTCAATAATTGACAAAACACTAGTAGTTTCGAAACTGCACGGGTCTAAAGTTTCACTATCTTTAATACGTGTTCATAGACTTTTGTTCTTTGCTGTTGCTAATAACAATTCACTATAGAGTTAAACTGGATGTTCAGCGCTAATTCAAACGATATTTCCTTTTATTAATAGAAGGAAATAAATTTTTCACGCGATCGAATACTTTGGGGCGGTGATGTGAATTTGTGTTCGACGATGATGGATCGAGAGATAAAGCAACGAGCTTGCCTGTCGTTTCCAGCGCCGCCGGAAGTCCTCCAAGCGTGTCTAGTTGCCAACGAGGCGGTGGTCGCGGTGCTGGTGCTCGACGTCGTGGAAGACGCCTTCGTCGAGGAGTATCTGCCCCCTAGCCGTCGGAACTGATCCCTTTCGGGATGTTCAGCGGCGAAACGCGCCTGCTGCCTGAGCAAAGGCACCGTCAGCACGTACGTGGCCACCATTACGATCATGGGGATGTAGAAGGCGATCAGCGAGCCGAACACGAAGAATGCTCTGTTGTTGATCATACACGTGCCCGGCCGTGGCACAATATTCACGGGATTGATTATGCCTGGAAGATAAGAGGATTTAAATAATAATAAAAAAAAGAAATACACGAGGAGACAAGAACCCGGGGAAATTTAATAAAAGCAGGATAAGGGAACGTCGGGGAAATATTTATTTTCTATTAAAAAATAATTACAACGCGGATCTGTCCCGGAGAGATTATTTCGCAGTCCATCTGAAACGCGCACTGAAAACAGTTGAAGTTTGCAAACCGTTAATCCTGCCCGCTGCAACAATAGTCAACCGTACGCTATAAATCCCACGGTATTTGCATGCCAACGAATTAACTTGTATTCTCCGCGAGCATACACAAATTGCGCCAAGCATTACAGCGATACACACGTATGTGCAGGCTCGTCGATGGAATGGACGATAAAAAAAAACAAAGAGAAGAAATCGAACACCGATACGAAACTCGCAGGCGGCACGGTTCATTTTTCCTCGCCTGATTTCTGTGTACCGAAAAACAATTGGAGTTATCCGTCGAAACGCGGAAAAACGTAATCGTTTATCGACCGGTCGGGATAGCACGGAGGCCTTCGGTATTCGGGGATAGCGTCGAATATCGGGGGTACGCCTCCGTCGAGAGAAACGCGAGAAGTCGAGCAAGGCGTACGCGTAACTTTTTCGTTTACCATCCCACTCGAATAGCCACTTAGCGAAAACTTCTATTTGGGCTCGCGTTCCTCTCCGCGAGAACCGGCCGATCCGATTTCGTTCCGAGCAAAATGAACCCGCCTCGATATTTGTGGAAAACTCCTCCTCGGGGCGGCCATCGCGTTCCTGAACCATGAATACGAAACGATCGTGCTACGTAGTTTTTGGAACACGGTTCTGATACCTTAACACGCTCGATCGACGGCATACGAATCGCCGACGAATTCTATGTGCAACCGATTCGGAGCCACTTTAATATTTATACTGTTCGATATTCTTATATTGTTTAATCTCATTTGTTTGTATTGCTAATTATGGTGTACAGTACACAAAGATATACTGAAAGATTTATACTGTTCGATATTCTTATATTGTTTAATCTCATTTGTTTGTATTGCTAATTATGGTGTACAGTACCAAAGTTCGAATTTAAGGAAACGATAGAAATGAGAATTTTTATTAAAATGTACGTATTATATGTATTTCGTAGGAATGTTTTTATTGTACAGTACCAAAGAGATCGAAACTGTGTTCGAATTTGAGGAGACGATAGAAATGAGAATTTTTATTAAAATGTACGTATTATATGTATTTCGTAGGAATGTTTTTATTGTACAGTACCAAAGAGATCGAAACTGTGTTCGAATTTAAGGAAACGATAGAAATGAGAATTTTTATTAAAATGTACGTATTATGTATTTCGTAGAAATGTTTTTACATTGTTTTCGTGACAACATCATTGGAAAATAATTCTACATGAAAATATTTATTGGGTTCGAGGAAGTAGAGCGTTGCAATAACTCGGGGAAAGAAAGTTGCAGCAAGCTGGGGTATACTGTGTATATGTTGTAGTTTCGTGGATTGAGCTCGATTTACCTAATACTGTAATGGAACTAGAGACCAACATGGCGAGCAGCCACACGGCCGCGATCTTGAAACCGACCATTCGCTTGGTGGACGTGTGGCGCGTTCTTAGCGGGTTCCGGATGCCTAGGTAACGACCAAGCGAGATGAAGCACATGTGCATTATGCTCGCCGAGCACGCGAGCACGTCGCACGTTACGTATACGTTGCACCAGTGCACGCCGAACGGCCAGTACCCTAAAACAGAAAACGAATGTTTCTCTTCCAACACGCCAAGACCTTACACGTGAATCGAACCACGCGATCTACACTAAATCTCGAAATTGATCGGGTGCTTTACCACATTACACTTTCCACTTAATCAATCTGTAATCTCTATTTGCAATTTCGTGGGAGTCGAGAGAGGAAGGATCACATTTGCATTTTCGTTCTTGAACAACTCAAATTAGACTTCAAGTCAATGGCATACGATTTGAAATCTCGACTGCCCAGACATTGTTACTTTCCAAACTATGTAAGGTTTACTTAAGCAAAGTACCATAATGAGAAAAGGAGATTTTTTAATTAGTCCTATGTATGAGGGTACATGTGTATATTATCTCAGCTATTACTTCAGAGATATCTGGTAACTTTGCCTCTGCTGGCCTCCGCTGACCTCTGCCAGCATGTGTAGGTCTCTTACTGCCTCTCCTGGCTTCTACTAGCCTCTGCTGACCAGTGATGACCACTCCTGATACCTCTGACAACGTACAACGATTATGACTAGCTACTGACAGCCTATCTCAGCCTCTGCTGGCTCCTGCTGGCCTTTGCTGACCACCACTTATATTTCTGACAACGGATAACGATTACTACTGACTTCTGACAGCCTCTGCTGACCTCTGCTGACCGCTGCTGACCACTCCTGATACTTCTGACAATGTGTAACGATTACTATTGACGCCTGCCAGTCTCTGCTGGCCTCTGTTGACCAGTGATGACCACTCCTGATACTTCTGACAACGTATAACGATTACTACTGATGCCTGCCAGCCTCTGCTGGCTTCTGCTGACCACTGATGACCACTCTTCATACTTCTGACAACGTATAATGATTACTACTGGCTACTACGAAGCTCTGCTGACCTCTTCCAGCATCTGGTGGCCTCAGCTGGCCTCTGCCAACATCTCCTGACGTCAGCTGCCCTCTGCTGACCACTGCTGACCACTGCTGACCGCTGCTGACCACTTCTTACATGATACATTGTATTAAAGCTTTGTATAATGTAAATCTATGGCAATAAATGATATAATTTCAAAGAATTCTATGTGTTCTCATCATTTTTTACCTTTCTTTTCCTCTCAAATTCATTACCTTAGTTATAAGATTCCCTGAAACTCCTTGGTTTCCCTGAACCCACTAGGAAGTCCTGAAACACCTCGGAAGTCCTGAAACTCAGAACTTTGCTAAAAATTCAGGGGTTCCAGGAATTTTCGGTGTTTCCAAGAAATTCCAGGACTTCCCAGCGGTTTCAGGACTTTCCAGCTGTTTCAGGGCTTTCTCGTTGTTTCAGGACTTTTTCGTTGTTTCAGGACTTCCCAGCTGTTCCAGGGCGTTCTCGTTGTTTCAGGACTTTTTCGTTGTTCCAGGTCTTTCCAGCTGTTTCAGGGGTTTCTCGTCGTTCCAGGACTTTTTCGTTGTTTCAGGGCTTTCCAGCCGTTTCGGGGCTTTTTCGTTGTTTCAGGACTTTCCAGCCGTTTCAGGACTTTTCGTTGTTTCAGGGCTTTTTCGCTGTTTCAGGACTTTCCAGCTGTTTCAGGACTTTTTGACGAAAAAAATGAATTCTCGATTTTGCCAGCAGGTACGAGAGCTGGACACTTTGGGAATCCAATTTTAACCGGAAAAACGGTCTCTTAAAACTAAGGCAATGATTTGGAGAGGAAAAGAAAGGTAAAAATGATGAGAACACATAGAATTCTTTGAAATTATATCATTTATTGCCATAGATTTACATTATACAAAGCTTTAGTACATATATAACATGTCAGGAGTGGTCAGCAGCGGTCAGCAGTGGTCAGCAGTGGTCAGCAGAGGGCAGCTGACGTCAGGAGATGTTGGCAGAGGCCAGCTGAGGCCACCAGATGCTGGAAGAGGTCAGCAGAGCTTCGTAGTAGCCAGTAGTAATCATTATACGTTGTCAGAAGTATGAGGAGTGGTCATCACTGGTCAGCAGAGGCCAGCAGAGACTGGCAGACGTCAGTAGTAATCATTATACGTTGTCAGAAGTATGAGGAGTGGTCAGCAAAGGCCAGCAGGAGCCAGCAGAAGCCAGCTGAGGCTGTTAGACGTCAGTAGTAATCGTTACACGTTGTCAGAAGTGTCAGGAGTGATCAGCAGCGGTCATCAGAGGCCAGCAGAGGCTGGCAGAAGACAGTAGCAATCGTTATCCGTTGTCAGAAATATAAGTGGTGGTCAGCAAAGGCCATCAGGAGCCAGCAGAGGCTAGGAGAGGCTGATAGTAGCCAGTCGTAGTCGTTATAAGTTTTCCAAAGGATCAGGAGTGATCAGCAGTGGTCAACAGAGACCAACAGAACCTGGCAGTAGCCAGTAATAATCATTATACATTGCCAGATATATCAGAAGTGATATCTGAATTAATATACATATGTACGCTCATACATAGGAATAATAAAAAAAAATTTCTTTCTTGCTATACGTGTATTTTTTTAAAACAAGTCCCGTATTAATCCTTCTTTAAATTGTCTTTTTTTAAATAAAGTGTCATAGAAATAGATGCAAACGAGGACAAGGAGAAAATTATAATGTGATTTACGGGCAAATTATCGAAGATGAGAGGAGTACATCTATTTTTATTCGTTTCTTTTGATGGAATGATGCAAGTTCCATATAGCACCGGTCCTTCTGAGTTCGATGAAAAAATAATTAGATAGAATTATAGCGCAGCAAAGTGGTCCTGAATGAAATATGCTGTTAGCCTCTTCTTTTAGTCTCTCTGTCTTGTGTTAAAACGTGCAGTAAACGCTTTGAGTTTCGTTACTTTGCGCATACTGAATTCTGTAGATGGTCGTTTGTGTTAAAAGTAAGCAACAAGTGGCGTTAATTCCGATGAAATAAAGTTCTAAACAAACATGGGAGTACTTCGTATCTTTATATTAAGATATTCTAAATTTTTATCATTGTTACTTATTATAGATAAATATCATTGATGTCAGAGATGTTAAAAACTATAAACCTATCAATACCAATAATGGTCTAGAAAAGATCGAATTGTAGAGGATATAAATTCTGATTCAATTATTATTTCATTAACGAATGTCGTAGAAATTATTAAAAATATTTATGGAGAGTAAATTCTCCATGTTTGCAGACAATTTCAAAATCTACAGACTAACTAACGGTGACGATGCAAAATGATCCCATTAAATTCAGTAACTGGAGCACGGACGATAAAACGAGTTTATAACCTATAGAAATATTTTGTAACGAGATCGCTGCGACGGAAATCATACAACGTTGTACGATACTTTCGTATAAATCGATTAATAGGATGCTTATGGCAACGAGAGGCCCCTTGACGAAAAGTCTTGCACGACTTGTTCAAACACGGTAAGAAGCTATTCTATTCTACGATGAATTTCTATGGATCATTTTCAATTATACCTAAGGCTCGCGACTGTATTCGAGGTAATATTAAGGGCTTTACAGTACTTTACAATTTAATGGATACGCGAGGACATGTTTGTCTCTGTCAGTAAAATTTAGCGCCTCGTATAAGGATCATGAGCACGAAAGGATTAACCATTTGCTCTCCGGTGGCACATCCTGCTCGCCATAAACTTTTATGACAATTGAAGAGACCCAGGGAAAAACGATCATGGTCACGAGAAGCGAAAGTTTCGGTGTTTTAAGAGCAAAGTCGCTGAGTGTTCTTAATAACTCTGTTCGTGAATTTTACGATTATTAATTTCCTTTTAAGACTGTCCACTAATGTTGGTTCCTAATTTAGGAGGAACAAAAATAAAATATTTACATTTCTTTCTATGATGGTGATGCAAGTTAGGTGAGAAATACTAATAAAAGTAGAATAAAAATAGAACTATAATGCATAGAAAAAATATTATTTTCGATAGTGATGAGCTATTGAAACCTCGAAAGAGACTCTTAAGGGCGAAAACTCTCATTTCAGGGAACTGAATGGAAAAATTCTAGAACAGCTGGCAATTCCCGGAATAGGTACTCCCTCGATAATGTTCGCGTCGCTGAACCGAGCCAGCGAACGTTAGCGAGGGTGTATTGTACTCGGGATCGACAGGTGACGCGTGGTAACCATTTCCACGAAGCCGTGAGGCACACTTGTTCGCATAATTTTGTATCTAATGAAATTCCTCCGGGGCGGACTCTTCTCGATGTCGCGTCTGCCTCGAATTAATAACGCCTTCATGGAAATTTTTCCCGCCAGCTAAACGGCAACCTCGGACTAATTGCGGCCTCGAAACGAAATGCTGCACTCGATAAACATTCGGTGAAAAATAGAAGAAAGTAGAGGGAGACTTTCCTCGTCGACAACGACGACGAGACAAATTCAATTGTGCGCTCGTTTAGTCGAAAGAAAGAACGATCCCAAATTGCGTAGAATATGTTAAACAGAACGCGACCTGCGTCAAGTAATTTTCACGGAAAGGAAATCAGCAGAATTCCAAATTTATCTCAAATATATCCAGTGACACCGAAAGAACTGAATTTGTTGCTCGATTTATGTCGTTTCAGATTACGTCTAATATCCACGAAAATGTAAAAAAATCGTTTCTTCTCCGCGAGCGTTTAATAATTTACGAACGAAATGAAGAATGGCGCGCCGCGCGTTTGGCGCAGTTTCATAAACACGCGACTAGCGAAAATTGTAGCCCGAATTTCGAGCAGCGACGCCGAGCTTTTCGCCGTTTTACTCGCTTTCAACATTTTCCCCTCTAATCTGCGCGAATGAAGTGAAACGGGTCAGCGAAACTCACCTAATTCGAGGCGTACAAACATAGCACGGCTTTAATTTCAAAACGACGACGACGAATTTCGTTTTTCTATTTTTATTTAATTTTTGCTATTCGGTTTTAATGGAAATCTAGGAGGATTTGCAATGCCAAGTAACGAATGAATATTCTAGCACCTAAGCCCTTTCGATTTTTCTTATAAATTTGTTTTTGATTTTTAATCAATTTGTTTGTCGCTGTATGGAAAAATT